GTGCTGTGTACAGTTAGAAAGTCTTACAGAGCCCCGCTATGTGCTTGCGGACACTGCCACACAAGCGTGTGGCATGACATGGAGGGCTCTCTTTGACCTCCCTGTTCACTATTCTGTTTGACAACTCTTATTCCAGTTGACAACCCGTGGGTGGCTGTGCTAAGGGACTTTTGCTTCTTCCATGTGCTGGTGGGTGATACGCACACACGGGAAGGCCCAGTTAAATTTCCCAACAGACGCGGCCTGGCATGGAAGTGAATGTTTACAGAGAAGGCGCTGACGGTTGCTCCACGGCTGAAAGGCAGAGTCTAGTTTCAGCTGTAACTCTCCCTGATGAAAGCCAATTCTTTCCCAATGCCTTCGGCAGCCATTTGTACATCATATTCTCTGGACGTTGGTGACAGCGCCTTACAGCATCATTCTATTTTGTTTAGTTTGGTTTTGCCAATCTTCTTCTGTTCTTTGAAGCCCTCTGACTCACAATCTGCTATGGGTAGTGCAGGCAAAATACTATATATATATGTATATAATATTTATATTATATTTATATTATATTATATATATATATATATAAAATTTTCCAACATTGCCTTCCCCATGGCTCTGGAAAACACAGGGGCACAGCCACAGTGATTGACACTTTTGATTGCATTTGAGGAATTACACTGAGCAATGACCTGGGAGCTCACAGGTAGTCATAAGCCAGATTCAATGTTATGGCATCAGGAAGCATCGTACTTGAGGATGTACATCTCTGTGCTATCAGGAGGCTCTGCCTAGTCTTATTTGAACCATAGGTGGCATTTTTCAGCAACAGTGATGCTCATGTGAGACTATTGAGTCTTTCAAACAGGAAGCTATAATGATCCTAGGATGTTACTTTTATCTTCTCTGGTATTGTTATGACTTTAGGAATGGTCCTCGTAAGGACAGTCTCATATGGTATTATAGAATTTAGGGAGATGCTTTGAGTGGCAGGTTGCCTTCTACAAATATTTACATAGCAATTCTGCACTGACTAGTTAAAAAAAGGGGAAGCTGGTGAATATTTAAACCTCCTGTCAGATTTGCTTGCATGAGAAGAAATAAGACATTAATTTTCTCCACTTAAATTTATCACGAAGGTTTATCTTTTCTAATTTAATAGCCAACATTATTTACCTGACAAGATTCAGGCAGCACCTAAAATGTATCAGTGCCTCATACAATTAAGACTTTTGAATTAAAATAACTCAGAGCTGCTGAAAATCAGCCGGTGGGATAAATCATCTTTCGTCCCTATGAAAGATGTACAAATGATAATTGGTACCTGCCAGTGGAAGGCACTCAAAGATGAATCTGCTGGTGGATGCTAAGTTCCCCTCCAGGAAAAAAAAAAATGTGATTACGTACATTTCACACGCACACAAAAGAGCCTGAACAGTAATTCACCAAAGAGAGGGAATGAGTGATTCAGAATCATAGTACAGGTTTGACTCATTGAAAAATCAGCTTTGCCAGAACTGGGGATGCAGCTCAGTTGGAAGAGTGTTGACCCAGCACACGGGATGCCCTGAGCTCGAGTCCTCGGTGGGTAAGTCTAGTATAGTGTTGTATGCCTACAATTTCAGTGCTCAAGAGGTAGAGGCAGGAGGATCAGTTAGGTAGCAAGTTTGTGACCCCCTTGGCTTCCATGAGATTCCGTCTCAATTGCAAAGCAGAAGACCTGCACTTCTTTCCAGCATGTGGTATGTGGATATAAATAAAATAAAACTCCACAGCATCATAAACAAACTATATGATGTCTCAAGGAACTAATAATTTCTTCCTACAGAGAAAAAATAAATAAGAGAAACCATTGGTGCTCAGTATAAGATAAGATATCCCTCTATTAGATAAACAAGTCTTCCTATTAGTTAGCCTAGAGATCTACTGTCCCTATATTCAAAGAATAGATGACTGCTGGTTATTTTGTGAAGTGAATGAACATATTTGAGGATAAGTTAATAGCTGTAAGTGTCTCAGAATTCGGAGTGATAAGCCCAAATCAGGAAAGAGTGGAAAACCAATTCTACAAGAGCTTTTGGAAATATTTCAATAGAGCTTCTACATAACCCATGTGAGGCCACCCTATTATTCAGAGCATTACACGACCATCTCTTGGTCAATCTCTGCAGAATATTCAGTTGCTTGAATGCACCGTCCAAGAGTCTAAGATGCGTACCTAACAGCTCTGCCATCTTTCTTTTTGCTGTTGTTTTTCTTCTGTTTTGGGTTTTCTAGGAGTTTTCTAAGCGGACAGAAGGCATTTCCACCCAGGCTGAGAATCTCGTCAAGGAAGCCTCAGAGATGCCACTGGGGCCCAGGAACAAACACCTGCTCCAGCAGCAGGCCAAGTCAATCAAGGAGCAGGTCAAAAAGCTGGAAGACACACTTGAAGAAGAGTATGTGCTTCACACCTTCTAAACTCCCTTCTCTGGGATCACATCCCATGAGGTCTCTCCTGTGTCTCCTCTGCCAGTCTCTCAAAAATCTCAAGGTGTCTATATGTTCCCACCTGTCTTGAGGAAACAACTCACGATCCAAAAGGAAATTGTTCTCAGCCCAGGAACTGGTATCCATAATAATGAAAGTATACAAGCGATGTGGTGTTTACATCTTGAACTGGTATATTCATCACTAAGCCATATATATTCATTTCTGTGGCCTTCGTATCATGCAGAGGCAATCTTAACAAAAAATAACCCACATTTACTTTTTTTTAACTATTTTATTCTAGTGTCACTTCTTAGAAGAAGAGATATCCTGATAGTGTAGGTTCTAGGCCTCAGCATACATCATGTAGAAAAAAATATCTCAAACTCCAAGTTCATGAGTGTGTCCATAGTGCCTCAGTATTCAAATTACCATGGATTCACATACCCCTTCCAGAAATTACCTGCAAAACTCTATCTTGGTTTTAAACATTTAATATTTATCTGAAAAGAAGAAATAATCTTGTGTCCCTGAGAAATCCTTCTACAGAGTTTGGAGATAAGCTTTTTCTAAAGTAATATCACTAACATTTTTATTTAGTGACACATTGAATAGTAGTCTATGACTCTCAAGAAACAAGACTGTAATCGCAGGAAGGGTTTCAGAATGTGAAAACTGTTTTCAGTACTCTTGGGGCCTTGTATTTAACATTTTATATTTGCCTAAACTTTAAATTTTGATCAATATTTTATTTGAAACAAATTCTGACTTCAAACTTTGACAACTTTATATTTGATAAACTCCGCAAAATTATGTAAAGAGCAAATCTGAGACTATATTAGAAAATAAGCTACTCCTAAATGGATTATAACACCCATTTGAGACTAAATTTTATGTTAAAACCTGCACTATTAGATTGCATTTGCGTTTCTTACACTGCTAAGTGCATTAGACATACACAGGGTTCAAATTTGACACTGTGACACTATTGAATTTGACAATCAATTGATACCATGTTTGTTTCGGTATCAAGTGCCTTCTGTAATCAGGTATAATCTGTTACTTTTCCTTCACCCAAGGACATCAGTTAGTTTAGTGCTAAAGTGTTAGTCTCCTAGTTTCTTTCTAAATCGAAAGCCATGCTCAACTGGTTATATATCCAGAGCTAATACCAACTGAGATCCTCCCATTGAAATCCTATTCTTTAGGCTTACCGCACAAAGAGTCAATGCCGTCTGTAAATAGTTAGGGAGCTCATGAATGAGGGTTTCTGAAAGTCTTTTGGAGTCAGGACTGTAGGAAATCTGTGAATCGCAGAGTACATGATAGGTTATATATCAAAGGTTTCCCCAGGCTGATGACAGCAGGCTTCTGTGCAGCCTGTAATCAGACCACGGCTCTAGCTGCATTCAGAAACACGTACTGTACCAAAGTATTTCAGTATGAAGTGTTCCAGTAGCACCTCCCCCGACCCCGAAAAGCAAAGGCAATATGTCAAACTATTGAGCCCCAAAAGCTATCCTGGGGGAGTCTCCTACTCTAAGTTCTGAAGGCAGCTGCTCCTGTGCAGAACTGGACCATGTTGGCTCACACCCTTTGGTGTCAGCATAAAATTACATTCCAAGGGCAGCTCTGCTCACACTGTAGCATGTGCACTGTCTCCTCCAGTGCCCGTTCCAGGAAGAGTCAGGGAGGCTGGGGTCAGACAGGCAACTCAGATCAAGTACATATGATGGTTTCTGCTTTGGAAGAATCAGAAATATCCCCCAAAACCTTTCACCTGGTGATGTATAGAAAAAGAAATGTCTTACTGTTCTTTATGGAAATATTGCTTTTTAACTTAATTTGGTTAATTTTAGTATTAAAACCATGGAAATGGTGAAAATCAAGTGGGATCATTTTGGCAGTAATTTTGAGACCCTGTCCATCTGGATAACTGAGAAAGAAAACGAACTCAATGCCTTGGAAACTTCAGCATCTGCCATGGACGTGCAGATCAGCCAAATTAAGGTGACCTGCGCACACGTTATGCTTATAATCTCTCTTTAAGAACATCTGTCTTACATATATCACCAAAAGCTATTTGATCCCACTTAGCAGTCATGACTGATGATACTTTATAGATTAAATTGTGTATTAATACTGTCTGACTTACAGATTCAAATCAATATTGTGTGCAATATCATTAAACTATTTTTATGGTTGCATTATTCTTTTCCTTGATTTTGGTTTGACGCCCATGGAGTGCTCTGTTCATACATTTATACATCATGAAGTGTACCCATCATCTACAACTTACTGCACTTTTTAAGAACGATTCCAAATGTCAGACCCAGTATTAGCTGTGTTAGCCAGACATGGTGGTACATTTCTCTAACTCCAAAAGTCACAAGGTAAGGGTGGGAAGATTGCCACAAGTTCAAGGTCAGCTTGATCTATACAGTGAGTTCCAGGCCCCTCTGGGATACATAGTGAGACACTGTCTCAAAAAGCCAAAAAAAAAAAAAAAAAAAAAAAAACCACTCTCCACCTTCCCAAAATGCACTAGTGGCATTTACCTTTATTAATCAGAAGGGGGAGCTAGAGAGATTTCTTTCTATAGAGAAAGCCTTTGGATTTGGCTGTTTTTCTTTTCACTGATGATCTTGCTGCCTGGACAGAGTCATTTATATTGCATTAGCTTTCCAGCTGCCAGAAGAACTAGTTATACAGGTTATCATTGACCTCTCCAGCAGAGCAGCTAAAAAATACGGGCTGCAATAATTGAGATTGCAGTGATCATCCTTTGCTTTATTTGAGAATTATCTATATATTATTTGAGAATTTTCTACATGCATACAATGTATTTTGATCATATCTACCAGCCAGTCTCCCTTCTGACTCCTTCTAGAACCCCCACCATGTTCTCCTTCCGAACTCAATGTCCTCTTTTACATATACATTTTCTGTTTTATACAATTCCATGCCACACAGGTTCAGATTCAGCCACTTCCTTCTGCTAGCTCTGTTCACTTTTTTTTTTTAACAAAAAACCCGTCCACCATTAACTATAATAGAATAAATACCAAGGTGAGGACACATTCATGCTGTGATTCAGACAGCCATGTGCAGGGTGGGAAGGTGAGGTGTCATTCAGCTGACATTGCTCTTGCTCATCAGGCATCCTGTGCAATCAGAGATCCATAGGATATGGCAAACACAGCCCGCTGTCTTCTGTCATGTCCAAGAAGACAGCTGCCAAGCCCTAAAATAAAATTCACGAAATATCTTAGCTCTAATAAAAAGTTGTCATTTAATCATTTTCACTAAATTCTAAGAAAAAGAAAATGTCACATTTGAATTGTTGGGTCTCAAAACTTCTCCTTCCAGAGATTAACAAACACTTTATGACTTACTTTATTCTTTCAGTAATTCATTTGCTGTGATATTTAGCCTTATCACAGCAATTCTGAATTATAAAATTGATCAAATGTCATCCCATTCCTCAGACAAATTAGAAATATTTAATTCTTAAATATAGAGTCAGTTGTGGATTTTCTTAACATCAAGCTGGAAATACATTTTGATACACCCAAAATGGTACTTCAAAAATGATCTGAAATATATTAAGCAGATACAAATAACAAAAAAAAAATGATGTATCAACAAAAGTGACAACAGAGTGGAATCCAAAAGATTTTGATTTAGAAGGTTCATATTCTCATTTCAAGCTGATGGTTTGAATAGCCATACTATTCAGAAAGATTAAAAATACATTGGCAATATCCTTTCCACCTTAAATCAAGCTTACGGCTAAAATCAATGGAGCATTTGCATGGCTGTAAAGACAATCCAAGCCCATCCTTGTTCATCATTGTATATATTTCCAAGTCAATACTAATAAATAGCAACAATATATTCTTGGCTCACTTCCATCTTATCTCTGATAGGATATATACATACATATATATATATATATATATATCCTATACACACACACACACACACACACACACACACACACACACACACACAAATATTCTCAACCTTATAATCTAATTCCATGGCTTATGTCCACAGAGTTGCTGATGACATGAATGGGTCTGAGAACTCATAATTTTGTTCTTAACTATGGTTCCTTCTGTTATGTGCTCTGATTATGCAGACAAATTATTAATGCATATTAGAAAATACACATTTGGAACCTATAAGTAATTTTTTCAAAAAGAATCCAATAAAACAGCAAAAGAAATAGAGACTCTATTCATGCTCAGATAACAATGATCTGCCAGGGACTATGCATATGAAAAATGAAAAGGTCATGCCCTTTGAGGGGACACAAGCTCTTCATAGTTGTCTCATCTCAACAGAAGTCAGAAACTTATCTTCCCTAGGGTAACAGTGTTTTCCATTTAATATTTTCACATTATGTGGTTTGATTTGCACCCCTCCTCGGAGAAATGACTTGCATTTTCTCATGTTTATGAGACTACACACACACACATACTTGCTGCTCACACATATGTGCACACATCCTGAGCTGCTCTCCGTTTTTTGCCTGCATTGGCTAATATATAAAATACCTTGTCTGTCCCAGATTAAATGGATGATATGTACACATTGTTTTTCTGTAGAGTACCTAGCCAGTGAAGAAAGCAGCAGAATCCCAGGTCCTATGAGGATTTTATAAAAACTCTTAGACCAAGTGTCTTGGTCCCCAATGATGGAGGCTCATGTACTGATGGGGTGTAAAGTAGGAAACCACTTGCCTAAGGTATAAATGATAACTTGCCAAAGGCTGTTTTCATGTGTGGGTGCAAAGGGCTCAGTCAATACAACAGACTCGATTAAATTTGGCAAAGTCAAATACATGCAAATATTACTGTTTTTGTAAGTTCCTGGAACACACAGCTTTCCCAGATCAGCTGACTGGAATAGTTGATTGATGAGGAAACCCCACATCCCTGTCTCCAGAGGCACTGAGAGAGCACAGGGTTAGCCTTTTGCTTATTTCGTCACAAGAAGTAGCCACTTCTCTGTCTCCCCCATACAGCCAACACAGCCACCATTGCTGTGCACTTTCCATGTGTTTCTATGCATCTGTTCTCCCCAAATAAGGTCAGGAAGTGGGTGGCCTTTGCTTGCCCCTGACCTGAATATGTTTAGGTGTCAGTTAAGCAACCTGTCCTGGTAGTCTCTGCTAGGGATCTGTCATTGATTTCATGCAGGTGAGCCTATTCAGCCCACACTGACATTTTCTCTCGTTTTAAACATCAGGTCACAATTCAAGAAATAGAAAGCAAAATCAACGGCATTGTAGGGTTAGAGGAAGAAGCCCAGTCCTTTGCTCAGTTCGTCACCACCGGAGAGTCTGCTCGCATCAAAGCCAAGTTGACGCAAATAAGGCGGTACTGGGAGGAACTCCGAGAGCATGCACGGGGCCTGGAAGGGACGATCCTGGGGCATTTGTCACAACAGCAAAAGTTTGAAGAGAATCTGATAAAGGTAAGACCTGGTCCATGCAAGTTAAAGTTACATATTTAACATATAGAAATGCAGTAAACACTACAGAAAGGGAGCAATAAAGAAAGACCACATGCTCACACCCAACAAGTGGTTAGTAACTACATTCAGAATTATTTATATGGCACCTTTGGGATGTACAAATGTCATTATACATTGTGTTAAGATCAAGTCCTCACATTTTTTTCCTCTCAAATAAGATGCAATGATTTTAGACTTTATTAAAATGCCTTTTTAAAAATGCAATCATGGCATTGAAAACTCATCTAAAACAGGAAGGTCACTGTGTCCCCAATACCCTCCTCTGCCCTGTTATGTGTCTTAAATTATTTTTATGTCCCACCATTCTTTTTTAGATCCGGCAATCTGTGTCTGAATTTGCAGAGAGGCTGGCTGATCCTGTTAAAATATGTTCCTCAGTTGCAGAGACATACAAAGTTCTCCAGGAGCATATGGTGAGAGTGTATCACCACACTTTTTCACATTTAGCCACTCAAAAATTTGGTTACTCCTACTTGAAAGAAAAACAGTAAATATTGCAAGAGTTAAAATTGGAAATATTTTATGTTAGTTGAGGAATTAAATGGTTCAAACATAATCACTTCTTATAGCAAGATGTCTGAGTATGCAAATGATTCACATTTATATATATATGTATATATATATTATTAAGGGAATTATATACATATATATTAAGGAAATAGTCATTTAAAATGTATTTATTGAGCTGGGGAGATGGGTGAGCTGATAAAGCTCTTGTCCTTAAGTATCTGCTGGATCCCAAGCACCCACAGAAAATCAGGGCAGGCACGATGGCCTTCAATAATGCTCAAGAGGCAGACAGGCTAGCAGGGGCAGGGGGGCTGGCTAGACTAGTCAGAACTGAAAGCTCCAGGTTCAGAACAGATCCTGCCTCAATTAACAAAGTAGAGAGTGACTGAGAAAGACACCCAACCTCAAATTTGAATTTCTGCATGTGTGTAAACACACATGCCCACACATACAAACACATACTTGCATACCACAAACACACACCACATACACAGATACACATGATGTGTAAATGTGCATATATATGTATGTATATGTATAAATGTTTCTCTTCTCATCAGAATACGTGATGTTTTCAGATTATCTCTTCAATGAATCCCTTTCCCGCTCTCCACTATTATATGTGCAAGAAAAAAATAACATGTGCAGAGCAGAGCTTAGACACTTATTCAGCCACATTTAGATGTGAGAGAATCTGCCCTGACTAACAGATCTCTGAGAACTGGCTTCTCGGACCTGGCTATGTTAACTCCTGATCACTATCAGTCTTCAGCAAGACAACCAACAGCCTTAGGAAATGTGGGGAAAGCTACAAAAAATAGAGAATCATGCACAAGGAAACACGTTGGCTGATAAGCAAAACAACACACATTGTCCCGGCTTTATGAACATACATGCAACACACTTGTCTGTATTACAGAGGAAGGGAGCTTCATAGACAGACAACAAATGGTTAGCAAACACAGAATGGAAGAATGATAGGATCTATATTGCTTGAACATGTTCAGCAAGAAAGCTTTTTTGTCATTTATATATTTTAATAGAAAAGAGAGAGAAAGTAGGAAAATCCAATTCCATGAAATTTTGATTGTTTTTAACATTAAACATTAAAATGTGATTATTTTAACATGCAACTAATGTTTGAATACCAGAAAAGATCACATTCGGGTTTTTCAATACTCAGATTTTAGAGGAAAACATTTAGAAGCAAATCATTCTTCTTTCCTGAGTTTCTAATGTGAAAAATAGAAGATAAATTTAAAATATCTCAGGATTTCTATGAAGATTTATTTCTAAATATTTTATTTTTATTTTTTAAATTGTGTACATATATGTGTATGGGGAGCTACCTGCATGTAAGTGCAGTGCCTGTGGAGGCCAGAGGGGGCGTCAGAGTCCCTGGAGCTGGAGTTATAGGTGTCAGTGGGCTGTCCAGTGTAGGTGCTCGGAACTGAATTTGAGTTCTGTAGAAGAGCATTCCAGGGCATTAACTGCTGAGCCACAATGACTAAATTGACACATGGAAAGCACATAATGTAACACTTGCTACATTCTGAGTTCCTTTATCATCGGCATCAGCAGCAGCATCCCTGGCACCAAAAAACCACGTCTGTGAACCTTTGTGTATATTTCTATAGATACAATAGCACCTTAAATGTGGATTTTATAAGAGAAGAGTGGGATTTTAAAGTTTCACCTATTCAACATATAATGAATAATAATTTTCACAAATAATCTAATTTTGAGATATTGCAAGTGTACAGCCTTATATTCTTTTTTTCAATGTGTTATGTCTTAGATGTCTGTGATCTTGCCCTGAACATAGTTGTCATGATTTAAAAAAAAAATTAAAATTATATTTACATATTTCTTACCAGGGGTGGTGTAGAGGTCAGAGGACAACTTACAGAAATCATTTTCTCTCTCCTGTGGGTCAGGGCTATCAAAGTCAGTCATCATGCTTGGTGGCAAGCACCTTTACCCCCTGAGATATCTCCCAGGCCATAGCTTGGGGAAAGTCTATCTTTGCAGAGTTCTGCATACTGGAAGCACCTTTCTCTTCACATTCACCATGTCTTGCTGCAAGTCACGGCAGGACACTCTTCACCTGCTGAACTCTTTGGTTGCCTTTGTGACTGAAGGAAAAGACTTCGTTGTGATGGGTCTCACTGAAAACTGGGCCTCGTTGCTCATGACATGCTTTGTTGCTGTCTACCTGTCTCCCTCAGCCCCAGTTAGGGCTTCCGGGATTTCAGTTACCAGAGGTTGATCAACCACAGGTTAAATATACTAAAGTGAAAATTCTAGCAATCAGTAGATCATACATTTTAAATAACCTTCATGACTCTTGGAAAGGCCTGACAGAAATGACTGTATACCACAAAGGGAATTTACTAGACAAACTCACATGATACATGCTGGGTAGTCCCAGATGGCTGTCTGCACACTGGAGTGGATGAGAGCCTGGCTGTTTAGTCCACGGGACTCTTGGCAGTTCCAACCAGGCATTGAAGGATGCCTGGAGAGCTGCTGTCTTCCTTATTGGAAGACAAAGGATGCAGCAGCAGCAGCAGCAGCAGCAGCAGCAGCAGCAGCAGCAGGATTAGCAACCACATTGTAGGTATACTCACCCGCAAATGATGAAGATGAAAAGGACAAATTGGGACAACTTTTCCCTCAGACTTCCTCATATCAGGAGTGCTCATGGAGATTTAATCCTCCCAGGAAAAATCCTCATAGACCCACCCCAGAGGCATGTGTCTCTTAGTTGATTCCAGATCCAATCTAGTTGACAACCAGGACTAACCATCCCAATTATCATATATAATTACAATTGTTCTGTCTTCGTTTATGTTGTTAGGGGGGGCCTGCCCCCACTTTTTACAGGGCTCCTATGAGGAGGATAGAGGGATAAGGAATTAGTAGATAGAAAGATAATGGAGAGGAGACAGACAGAAACACAGGATAGCTTCGGGAGGACCTGGATCAAAATCCACCGGCCCCATCTGTCTCTTCAAAAGGTCTTTTTAAAGGAATGCCAAGGGACAGGGCAAAAGACCTCCCCCTTGCTACATTGAAGCATACGCACATCCAAGCGAAGACCCTTCCAGATACCTGGTAACCACGCACTTGGTCAATTCATCCCCTTATGCAGCCCTGCTGGGTAGAGCAAGCTCCAATCTCACTAGGAAACCTCGGTGGGCTCCCACAGTTTATAGCTTAAACTTGACATGGGTGTAGGGAAACCAAAAGGTACTGCAAGTCCTTTCGGCCCATGCCTCCCGTGAATTAGGAAGCTCTTGCATTTCCTCTGCTCTCTCCTCAGGATCTCTGTCAAGCCCTGGAGTCGCTGAGCAGCACCGTCAGCACTTTGTCAGCCAGCGCCCAGAAAATGGTGAACAGAGAGTCCTGTACCCAGGAGGCTGCGGCTCTACAGCAGCAGTACGAAGGGACACTACACAAGGCCAAAGAGAGACAGAAGGCGCTGGAGGCCCTGCTGGCCCACTGGCAGAGGTCAGCAGTGTTAGCTCTTGGCTTACTCTCCATGGGCGATAGGAACGTCCGGACGAGCTGTGGTGGGAAACAGTCGCCCTAGACTCAAGATGAGTGAACTTGAATGTCTACTGTGGGGTGTCCACTGAGACATAGGCCTGGGAAGTATGTGTATCTTTACACATTGTACAGGTGTGAGCAAGTGTGTGAGGATTAGCATGAAAATGAATGAAGCGGTGGCGCACGCCTTTAATCCCAGCACTCGGGAGGCAGAGGCAGCCGGATCTCTGTGAGTTCGAGGCCAGCCTGGTCTACAGAGCAAGATCCAGGAAAGGCGCAAAGCTACACAGAGAAACCCTGTCTCGAAAAACCAAAAAGAAAGGAAGGAAGGAAGGGAGGGAGGGAGGGAGAGAGAGAGAG